TGGACGCCGGACTGTTAAAATGCCTCTACCGAGTTAAAAAAATGATTGACTACGGCACCCATCCCAGCATACCCTCGCGAAAAAGGACAATTCATTTTAGACTGCGATGCATCCCAACACGGCGTGGGCGCCGTGCTATCCCAAGAACTGGAGGGGGGAAGAAAAAGTAATTGCGTATTTTAGAAAGACCTTAGGAAAAGCTGAGAAGAATTACTGCGTCACAAGAAAATAACTTTTAGCCATTGTCAAAGCCCTCGAACACTTCCACACCTACCTTTTTTAACAGAAGTTTTATTATTAGAAGTGACCATAGCGCCTTGCAGTAGCTGATGAATTTTAAAAAACCTGAAGGACAAGTTGCTAGATGGATAGAAAGACTGCAACAATACAACTTCGAGATAGTGCATCGAATGTGACGTCTCCATAGCAACGCAGACATTCTTTCCAGGCGACCGTGTTCAGATCGACAATGCCGGTACTCCCCATTGGCTCCAGCCAGGTCCCCAGTAATCAAGTTATTCGGGACGAATAACTAGAGAGGAGGGAGCAAGCAATGTTAAGCAGCACCCTGTAGCGTGCTGCAGTCGTCATAAGTAAAGGTAGTAAATGAAGAAGATAGAATAGTCAAGAAATGTCTCGAAATGTCATTCCTTGTCAAAGAAAAGTTCTGGATTGTTCGAGAAGATTCTAGAAGGTTGAGGCAAGCTATATAAGTCGACGACCTGACGTTAGAATTCAGTTTTATGATAGACGACGTTAAACGTTAATGTTATCAGTTGGATAGTTATTGTTAAAGTTGAATTGAAATAAATTGTGTAACAACATGTATCATCTTCTTGAAGAAATTAAACTTACTAAAGGATATGGTCGGAATACTACGTAATTTTAACCACGGGTAAACCACTGATTTTGATATAACAACAGAACATTCTTGTTTAGGAACAGAATAACAAAGAACTTTGGTAATTTAAAAGACCGGAATATAAATAAATAAAAAATAGGTTTTAAAAAATAACACTATAAAATAAAGTTGACAACAAAATGGTTATTTCTAAATAAGTACATTATAATTAACACTTATATTAAAAATTTAAACTCGCAATCTTTTTTCGATTAAAAGATAATCATTTTTTCAAAAGGTTTCAGGGTTGGTTCGGGCCACAGTGTACCGCAATCACTGTTCCTTATAATAGCTACGCCCCCTGTTAACGAGTCCTAAGATAGGCCTACGAAAAGTAACAGAATTTTGGTCCGAATTTTGGTCCGAATTTTGGTCCACAAGGTGTGGTTTGTATTATATCCCTTTATACTGGACTAAAAACGCGATGCGCGAAACGGGCTGACCTGAAAACCAAGCTCCTCCTAGGGGCTTTGACTCTCGTATACACTCGGGGCGCTCGGGCATTCTATTTACTCGAGAGTTTATTTCAGCAGCGCTGCTGAAAAACGCATCGGATGTTGATAAATGCATTTATGCGATAAGATATAGGATCCTACCAATTTCATTGCAACCAAGTATGTACTCGTACATGCTTAAACGATTCTAGAGAAGGGATACAATGCGTTGATGTGCAATACAACTTTAACCACAACAAAGTCGCGTAAAGCGTAAATTTTTTAGTTCCAAATAGAGACAGTTCGCGGTTGGAACAGCTGATCGTGGCTCGCTGGTTATCAGTGAGAAGTGCGTGTTCGCGATAAAACAAACGAAAACGTGCATTTTATCATTTGATTCGATTGATGACTGTGTAAATTAAGTAAACAATGGAATTGACTTCTACTTCTAGGAATACATCGATGAGGTATTTGCCGAAAAGGCCTCCGGTGGACATCGAATTTAACGATGTCACCTATTCGGTGCCGCAAGGAAGAAAAGGTCAGAATGGTTCATTGTTTCCTTTATTAATATTAATGCGGTTATTGTCTAGAATTGGGGTTATTGATTTTTTTTTCGTTAAACTAATTTACTTTGTCATTTAATTTAATAAATTATAAATATAAATTAATTTTTATTACTATTTGTAGGCAATAATAGTAATAACTTTATTTAGGAAACATAAAAAACAGCTATACATAATATATTAAAATACTCTTGAAGGAAATTTGTTGAAGGAACAATTTTAAAATAATTATTTAAGGCCGGGACTATACATAGCGTTTTTACCAGGAGCGTTTTATCGGTACCCCCCTTTGGCAGGACAGGTACAATTCATTCTTTTTAATGGCGCGTTTTTGCCGCATTTAAAACAATGTGTTGTACCTACCTGTCCCCACCAAACGGGTCTCGCTAAAATGCTCCCGGTAAAACGCTATGTATAGGCCCCGGACTAAGCTGGACAAAGGACACATATGAATGTATTAAATATGCAGGGTTGTCCCAAAATTGTTACTACGTGCTGTAGAGGTCAAACTAAGCCAATTGGGTCCAAAATCATTAAGAATGGGACACGAAATAACAGAAGATTCTCGGGTTGAAAATGTAAACGAAACATGCTTAGATAAAATATTACTGGTTTCCGAAATACAGGGTGTTCAATATTGAGAATTTAAAAATTAATAACGGCTGTATTATTTTTATTTCTCAGTAAAATTTCACTAAATTCGGTAAATACTTTTGTTGTTCTAAGATAAACATATCAACAAAATAACTAGTTTAAATAATTTTTTCCAGTGGCGTAACGGCATGGATAAGCAATATTTTCTACTGTCCAAAAAACTTATTTGGACTATAATTTTACATTCTTTAATGTTTTTTATGAAATTCCAGAAACAAATGAGTAACGATTATCCTTGACATTCGTATTTATATTGGAGAATCAAACACGTTCATCGCACGATTGCTAGTACATACACCACAAGTCGTATTAATTTGCACGTCTGAACAAGCGTTGCGGACGGGACGACGGCCGGTGCGCCAACGACAAGTCTCGGCGCGTTGTACTGAATATGGAATATGCAAGTTTTTACAAGTAACAGTCGCTGAGCTTCTTAAAATATTATCTGCCTATATTGATAAGAGAAGTCAAGTCAACATTTTAGTAACTAAAATGTTGACTGTTTTTTACAAGAATTTCTTCACATGGAAAAATGAGTAATCAATTGTTTAATAGTATAATGCTTTACTATCGAAAACCAAATTAATTTTCATGTACCCCCGTTTTACGCTTGTGAACCCCCATTTTTTATTACGCCCAACGTAGACCCCCGTCGAGTCTCCCGTGGGCTTATTTTCAAACCCTATATGGTAAACGCAACCGGTTGCGATAGCAGCCTAGTAAATGGAAATGCATCTAAAACGCTTTAGTCTCTATACCGTGATTGATTAGCGTTTCTGGCCGGCAGGTGAACTTGGCTCCCGAAGTGATAATATTTGTAGTAATCACAGACATTTTGTTATTTGATTTCTGTTATGTGAGACTTTTCATTTTAATTTTGAGCTGTGTTCAGGCCGTTGGAGTCTATACTGGTCGGCGTAGCCAGGTATGGGCTGATATTTTTCTGGTGGCGGCGAAGCCGCCACCCCTACGAGATGGCGTTGCTTCGTCCTTATAGTATTGCGTTTACGGTGTAGGGAATGGAGGGTTTTAGATGCATCACCATTTCCTAGCCTGTCATCGCAATCGATTGCGTTCACGGTATATGGAATGGAAATATGCCTCTCGTGGACCCCTGGGGTCCACCTGGTCCACTTTGGGAAATACTGCTCTATACTATAATAATACATTCAGAATCTAACCTATAAAAAATACAATAATTATTCAAGGTTTATATCTATTTTTAATAAGTTACAATTGATTCTTATCTTAAATGGTTTGTGATGATATCATTTAAATGACTAATTAAAATAATCAAGAATATTAATTATGTATAAACATTGTTAATTTAGAAGCCATTATTGTATAAAAAATAAGGAGTCTGTAGTTCCACATACCGATATGTTACTGACATTAGGATTTTGAGAAGGACATGCTCGAGAGAGTGTCAGGGTGTACTCTGAAAGGTTTCCAAATCGTCGTGTACCTAGCCACCCAACTTTTGCTGCTGTTGAGAGACGTCTTCGGGAGACCGGTTCCTTTGCTCCCAACACTGTTGATAATGGAAGAGAACGTTTTGTAAGGATTCCTCAAGTTAAAGAAGACATTTTAGAACGTGTTGAAGAAGATCCAGAATTAAGCACCAGGCGAATTGGAAGGGAACTAGGAGTAAGTAAAGATATCGTTCATAAAGTGCTTAGAGAACAATTGCTATATCCATACCATAAGAAGCCAGTACAAGAATTATTAGTCCATGATCCTCAAATTCGTTTGGGTTTTTGTCGATTTGTTAATATGCAAAGAGAAAGAGATCCAAAATTTGTCAAGAAGGTTCCTCTTTACCGATGAAGCGGGTTTTACAAGAAGAGGTATAACTAATACCCATAATGAACATGTTTATGCCGTTGAAAATCCCGCATGCAATAAAGGTAAACCATTTTCAGCACGAATTCAAAATTAATGTGTGGGTTGGAATAATTGGTAATTTCATTGTTGGTCTTGTTATACTTTCACGAAGATTAACTGAGAGAAAATTATTTGGATTTTCTACAAAATACGTTGCCAGAATAGTTAGAAGATTTACCTCCTCCAACTTCGGAAAGATATGTGGTTTATGCAAGATGGAGCTCCACCACATTTTTCTTTAAACGTTAGAAACCACTTGAATAAACAATATCCACACAAATGGATAGGCAGAGGGTAATGACGCACCTGTAAACTGGCCACCACATTCCCCAGACTTAACACCGATGGATTACTTTTTATGGGGACATCTGAAATCCACAGTTTACAGGGAACCTGTAGAAAATGAGGAACAGCTCTGGTAACGTATTCAAGATGCAATAAACAATCTTAGAGGTGATGAAGAAGTTATGGAAATGATACATTTTTAATTTTCTTCGACGTATAAATCTTTGTATGCGTGAAAATGGTGAAAATTTTGAACAATTTTTTTAAAATCTCTATTTTGATTATGCTGTAAATAAATATTTTTGTGAAACCTATACATTCTAAACTATTAAAACAGAAATTTAGCGAAAACCATGAGAGTAATCGAGTCTTAATCAAGAGTACCTTTTTTAAAGAAAATGAGTTGCGCAATCTAAATTTCATACTCAAACTCCTTTTCTTCCATTGGCGTAGAATTTTTAAAGGTACAATTATTTAAAAAATCAAGTTCTACGCCTATGTATTATTATTGGACAAAATTTTAATACCATTTTTTTTGCCACATAAAACTTCAAGGCCCTCTGGAGCCCAAACGAAGCAACTTTTGTACTAAGGTAATTTTACTTAAATCGACTTATTTTGGTCTAATGAAATATGTGGTAAGTTTTTGTAAAGACCTTTTACAGACACCTTGTATTTAAAATGACCGTACTAAGTTTTGCATTTGAAATGCTGTTTTATTACTCTCTCATACATAAAAATAGACTATATAATTCGCCCAGAAGCTGTGTATTTGCAAATAAGGTCGACGTACTTAACTACTGTAACACTCGCTTGAGTTCTTAACCGAAGATTGATAAATAATGGACAAAAACAAAACTTGATAATATTAATAAGATTTATGAATCAGCTGAAATTTACGGATCAGTGGGTACGGAATTAATAGGTGAATTAATAGGTAGAGTGAGTAGTTGTTTTTTTTTTTGTAAATTGCAAAAGTCGGATTAAATAGCAACAGAACAAGAATTAAGAGATTTAAAACGCCTCGGGGGATTTTATATCTTGCGGAAATTTATTGAACACATTATACTAGAATTGCCAATTAGTTTATACTTTAGAGCAAGTATAGACAACATCTTTTTGCGGAAATAGAGTAAAAAATGTACATGTTGAAACAAATAGTTAGTTACTTATACAATTTAATTAGATTCAAATTACAAGCCACCAAGGAGAAAACACCCAACAGTTTTTTGCGAATCTAGAAAGAAAATCTTTCATTATTAATACCTTCATGTAATGACGTAAAATGGCGGTGGTGACATAAACGTTGATCTATTCGATAGCAGTTCAACAAATTTAAAAAAATTTCATTACTACCATAGAATTATTTAATCTCAAACAAATTATTAACGAGCCGACGAGGGTGACCAAAAATAGTTCTACTCTATTGGATGTGGTAGTCATACCTAGCCAGTTTGATCCTGTTGACAGTGATGAAAGGAAGTATTTAATATCTCGGATCATAAATTAACATATTGTATACTAAACTTATCAGTTACAGTTGATTCTCCCAAAGAATTCCAGTCGAGAAATTAAAGAAACATAAATCGTGATATTTTAAAAGAAATGCTTATCATATTGTACACTAAACCTTATTAGTTTACAGTTAATCCCTCCCAAAGAATTCCAGTCGAGAAATTAAAGAAACAAAAATCGTGATACTTTAAAAGAAATGCTGCTATTTACCCTCTTTTGAAAAATATTATTACTTTTGATAAACATTGACGATAAGGTTGAGTTTCTTAATAGCACTTTATTAAAATATTTTTAATGCTTTTAGCCCCAGTTCATTCTATTCCAAAGCATTCGATACTAATAATCATACAATTTTACTCTCAATATTACATTTTATTGGTTGCTCTAATGATGTTATTTGACTATTTAATATATACCTTGATAACAGGAAGCAATTTGTAGTTACTGATGCAGGTTCAATCAAATACTAAGCAGATTTCCTGTGGAGTTCCTCAGGGATCAATACTTAGGCCTTTATTATTTTCACTATATACCTCCAACTTTGGAAATAGCATTAAGAATGGTAAGCCATTCTTTTATGCAGATAATACTCAAATTAAATTTTCTTTTGATCATGATAATGCTTTAGAAGCAAGTA